CCATGAGGAGCATAAAAGTATTGCGCTTACCTTATGTGATAATCTGATAACTTCTTATTACGGCTACTGGTAGTATTTTATCTAAGCCTTCATTCATTAAACTTGATTAAAGGCATGGTTGATGTTTTCGATTGAGTGCTTTTTTAAATAAAATTCTTATTCAGAAAAATCGTTGTTTAGATTCATCGTGATTCTGTTTTGCCAAATTTGTTTTTGCCATTTTATTTGTGACAAATTATTGCTTCTTAAAAATCTAATTTTTCACAGTTAATCCCCTGACCGAGAACGTGTACCACTACGTCACAACCGGTTACCCGTTCGTTCAGCACGATACTGATGGGCATGAAGTAATAGATCGTGGACGAATCTCTCCTTCACAGAGGCACAATTCTGCAGCCTACAAATCTGCAGAGCACGAAAGTATTGCTCTGAAATCAGCCGAATACCAATCTGCAGAGCATGAAAATACTGCACTGAACTGTGCTGAATACAAATATGCAGAGCACGTAAATACTTCACTAAATTCTGCAAGATACCAGTCTGCAGAGCAGTCAGGTATTGCTTTGACACAGCGTCCTACATCTGAGGAAAATAGAACATTTTCGTCCATACACTTTCATTCTCCGTCACTGCATGAAGTCAACGATGCCTCTTTGGTACGTGAGAATTGTGCTAATTAGCCATACCTTAGTTGCGGCAAAGTCGCCTGCAGAAATAAAATGTTGCTTGATGTAATGTATGCCATTTGATATTAATTTAATAATTCGCTTGTGTTTATCGTTCATAGCTTAATTGCACATCTGAAAGGTCCAAAAGATTCAAAATCATGAAAGAAACGGTTTGAATCCCTGTGAATAAATCTTTCCTCTGCCACATATAATTTTTTGTATCTTATGCAGCGAACTTTTCGACTGGGAGAATAAAATTTAATTTAATGAATCAACAAAATTTAAATTTTAGGTTCATTTTTGAAACACAAAATCAGACCAGACCTTCCAAATAAAAAAAATCAGATCAGACCTTCCATGCCTACATATAGAGTAACATCATTTGTAAAATAGGCTGAACATTAGCTCAATGTTAATACCTAGTTTTTCATTCGAGCTTTAAAATATGAAATACACAATTCTCTCTTATGTCATACCTTGGTTTTCAGACAAGCGCATACACCGAGTTGGGCACTATACCCGCTGAAGACACAAAGTTCGTCTCTGTATCAGACAGAAAACTCGGGCAGTCAGGACCTGGCATTCATCAGCATCAACGGACACAACAAAACCTGGCCCAGGTGTGCCATAAGCCACTAACGGTGCTGCAAAAACCTGGCAACGTCACATCCCGGCCTCGACAAAAACATCAGAGGTTCAAACACGAAGAAAGGGAAGATGTTAGTCCTTATCCTCCTGATCGAAGTATGTCATCGTTTCATTAGATATATTAGCTTTTTATTATCAATATTTCTTCTATTTCGTTGTAGGAAAAACTGGTGAAAGTATTTCCAATGTTAATTTATACTTCTTCACTAATATTTACTTTGAGATTTCATAGTATTATATTATTATTTTTTACCTATCTTAACGTCCCCATTGTATAAAACTATTTTTTCTTTCAAAATTTCTTAGAAAAATCTCATCACCAGCGCAGTCTAATTTAAACTTTTGACTTTCAGTTTCCAGCATTCGAAACTGCATTTCTACGCCCAAATTATTCGGAAGCAATCATTATTTTGGAGTCACTGAAAGTTATTAATCTGAGGAGCAACCTTTCAAACAGTTTAGCTGCGTGTTTCTACATTACATTACCAAAGCCATCCCTTAACCTTCCTCAGTGCTATTCGTACCTAAATGACTGGTAATCTGAGTTACCGTCAATAAACAAAGATTTAAGTTATATGAACATTTCATTACAAATTTTCTTTTAAAATCTTACGTTTTCATTAGGAAGATTTACATATTTTTTTCGTCGCTACTCAGCAGTTCGACATTCTTCGCGTCATGTATTCGATGATAATGTCTATGTTTCCGAAGCATCAGGAAATTTCTATCTAACTAAACTCCCCGTAGCTGCAATAGCAATACGAGGCTTATATTTTACAACAGAAACTCTTTCAAGATGCAATGCAAACTATGAAATGTATATATAATCAAATAATAGTTTTGTTAATACCTTGACTGGGGATTGTTACTGATGCTTCGTTCGGCCATTTTGAAATTAATGGTTCACAGACATTGTTTTCTTGACGTACACTTAGTAGACTTGTTGCCGAAATTCAAATCGATTATATAACTTGATTACTTATAACTTTTTATTATATAAAACGAAATTTGCTCATAAATTTTTACATGGCTATAATGAATGTGTACGTTCACTTAAATGGGCAGCGACTGTGTATTGATGTTCCTCTCCCTCCAGCTGTTATGACCCCAGTAAGATGAAAAACCCCAAACGAAATCAACCCATTTCGAAAATAGTAGTATGTGGAAAAAATACACTAATAATAGAGAGGTTTTGGCGCATGGAAGGAAAATTCATGACTTAACATCGCACTGAAAAATACCGCTCCTGCCGCTGATGTCATCTGAAAATGTAGTGATGTTTGCGAGTTTTCGGTCGTGTGCACGATTTAACTGGAATTTGTCACAAAATAAAACGCGATACAATATACTGCGTTCTTTTTTACCTTCTACCGTGTTTCCAAATATTGTATTTATAAGATTTTGGAATTAATTGCGAGTTTTCGGTCCGGTGCAAGATTTAACTGGAATTTGTAACAAAAATATAACGCGATAAAATATTCTACGTTATTTTTTGCCTTCTACTGTGTTTCTAAATATTGTATTCATAAGATTTTGGCATTAAAACAGTTTATACTCCGATTATACCCCAGCTATGATTATACTTACCCCAAATCATAAATTAATTAAGCAAGGGTTGTGCACAACAAATCATAAGTAGTTTAACAGCAAATAATCCAGGAAACTATGGCGACACAGTTAAGGTAGTTTAAGGAACTTTAGAGACCGCACTTCACGAGTTCTCGTTTCGAACTCTTTTTTTTAGAACTTCTCGTCTCGAGCTCTGGGACAGTAGTCTTAAGCTAGCAAACGGCTACGTTTATATAAACAAGAAAGTTCTTGTTCTTCATCTATAGTCAAGAAGAAATCTGGTTGGGATATTTTTCCCAACATCTTCAAGAGATAATAAAGAAATTTAATGCTTTCAGTACATAGAAAAAAGTAAATAAAAAATCCAAATCGGTGGGAAAATTTAAAATTTCAAGAAATTCTCGACTGTACGGAGTTTCTTGAGACTGAAACTCGTATATGTAACACAGAATACAAAAATTACTGCAAAAAACCATCGTGTAGGTACATGATCAGCTGTGTTACTGGAAGCAGGAATCTAAAATGCAACTAAAAATGGACTACGAACGACGAAAACAAGGCCAATTAGCATAAAATATCGTGATAATATAAATGCTTGGTCGTTGAATGTAAAAAAAGTGTGCAAAAAAATTATACGGCCTAAATTTTTTCCAATAAAGTATTACCTAACAATTACCAAGCCATCGAGTAGAGAAATTAAATACTGCAAAAACACGACTACACATTAGAGTCTCAAAACGATTTTACATTAAACTCTTACCGCCTAAAGAGGTGGCTTTTCACAGAAATTACAAGCTTAATAAACAGTACCGATATTTGGGATAAAATTTTCCTGGAATGATTTTTTCAATTTTTCAACAATATGACAACAAATGTGTTTCATGATTCTTCGAAATTCAAGTCATTATCGATGCCATTGTGTTTCCCATTATTTTTCCAATGGGAAACTCCTAATAAGAACTCAATTCCAACTCCTAATAAGCTTTCCCAAACATGAAACTCCCAAAAAGTTGACAATATTTGGGTGCTATAGACCTAATCCCATGTCTAAAAATTCAATGACTTTCAAAGAAATTAAATAAAAAAAATCAATTCGATAACTGACACCCGGTGATTAAGTTTCGAATCATAAAACATTCTCATAGCAACTTCTCCATCGCATCAGTCAAACTTCTTATGCCAAAAACTGTATGTATATGACGGAGCCTAATTCCAGAAATGACCGGATTAAATGACGCAATTTTCGTCACAAAATTACCTTAACAAAGTTAAGAATTGAGGAAGCGATTTTTGAATATGATAGATCATCTTGAAATTCTTCCATTTTTAAAATTCCTTATGCAAACATAAAAAAATTTCTGATGCGCGAAATGAATTCAGTCTGCACGCTGACAGCTAACTTACAAATCATTTAAACCTCACTCGCCCAGAATGTAAATGTATTGGTTTTTGTACGGCAGTTATATTTTAATCCAAAAAAAACAACTTCATGTAAAACATGAAGTGCAACACCATGCTCGGATTATCCAAGATATAGAGCATTTATCATTTGCTAAAATTCATTTGTAATGAAGCACATTTTCAACACAAGCGTTAATGGACATTTCCTATCATACAGAGTCTTTACACTGGTGATGAAATTCATCATGAAAGTTCAAGTAATGATCATTGAATAATAAAAAATTAATTATGAGATCTGCAGCAATTTTACATTCAAAGAAGAAATTTGTACGACATAAAAAAATTAAATACAAACTAAATACAAAATTTGTACGAACTAAACTGAAAAAAAAAATAATAATAAACTTCACTGAGAAACATCTTCAAACTGAAACTGAGACACGCGATGCAACTTTAACGTGAGATGGAAAAGTTAATGCCAAGCCAAACCTAGACTTCGAATTGGAGAATTTTAGACAGGATCCACAACAAAATTAATAAGCATAACTATATAGATTACTAACTTTTCATCATGAGTCAAATTCTGATATTTTGGATGCAGCACGCTACGGTATCATTGTAGTTCAAGTGAAAGTATTGAGTTTCTCTTTCATATTGTAGTTAAATATTCATGTTTTTACTGATTAGGACACGGTATACTGACCACTTCGTGTATACATTAACTCATTAATAATTTCTTTTACTCTTTTTATTATTATGATCTAAATTTTTTCTCCCAGAAAGATTTTGTCTTGTATTCATAATATATGGTGTAGAAGCTCAAAATATGGCATTGCCCAATAATTATATATGAGTCGTTAGATACGAGAAAATTTTCACGAACAACAGAACACCGAGTGTGTGCTTTGAGATTACTGGCGTAACTGAAATTCGGCCGTTTCACATATTTATTCTGTTACAACATACAAAATGAAAACATGTAATAAATGCGCGAAACGTTAAAAAATTTTCGCGGCAATGTGAAGGCATGGAGAAGCTCGAGCTTCAAGAGAATAGGATAAAGCTGCGCTAATCTGGACATGCACACTAAAAGTGGTCGAAATTATTTATTTGAAAAAATTATCTGATTGCCTGCATGTTATGCCATGATCCAATCTGCATAATCATAGGCATATTCTCATCCATATCCATACGCGTGATTTACAGATAAGTGTTAACCTTGTATTTCCTGACTCTTACGTATTCGTATTCATTGAGTTTCGATAGATTACATAAGTTTCCATCTTCATTCTTTTAAATATCATCCTCACCTCCATCTTTTTAAAGATGGATTTCCGCTCACACCAACACCAATAATGCACGACACAGCCGAGCATAACGCTCCCTGCTCATTAGAAATGATGGTGAAATGAGTGGCTTCTGAACAATACATTCCCTCTCGACCAGCAAATTACGTTATTGAGTGGTACGTCCATGTCACTTCAGCTCCGTAATGAGGTCTTGCATTGGTCATGTCGCTTCAATCACACGAGGGGACGCTGGTTGCAACTTTTGTTTGGCTCTCACTCTCTGTGATCAAAAACCTTCCAGGAAAATATTACCCTGATCAAATCTCACGAGGAATGCATTTTTTAAGAAAATTTGATATGCGACAAAAATTAGAAAATGTTCGTGATGAGGGCTAATAGTGATTTGATTTTTAAGCATTTATTATTCTCGCGGTAATATACATAGCCATTTATAATGTGATACGAATAGTGAAACCGAGACAAATATCTATGCTACTTTCGACTATATTTGTCTCAAAATATAGTATAAGTATAGTCTCGAAGTATATTAGATCGTATAATATTACATTTTACTATGGAGAGTTATAGTATTTTTATATATAAAAAATCTACTATAATACTAATTTAATTTTAAGTACACTAATTAAAGTTCAAAGGGATGGGGTTGCATTGAAATGTCCCTATTTTTCAAGTGAAGATACTTTTCAATGAAGAAAAGTATCTTCAATGAAGATACTTTCTTCATTTCAAGATCTTTACTTTTCTTCAATGAAGAAAAGTAAAAAAGTAGTCCCAACTTTTACACATAAACTCTATATACATTTCCTATATGTTATATGATTATATATTATATATGTTATATGATTATAACAGCAAATGTTTGGTTTTTTGGTGCAATATCTACATACGTATGTAGAAGCTTATTTCCAGCAACTTTCAACCCAGTCTTCAAACGGTACAATATGGGCTCATGGGCTCACAAAGCTGATTAGATGATTAGAAAACCCT